ATTTCATCCATTGTGAAAAGTCAAGAACTGTAACTTGTCCTGTGCTCAAGTTCATTTAAATGTTAAAAATGTTGTTGTGGTACTTTCAGACATGTTGACATTTGTGAGAAGAGGGAAGCTTTTTGGAGAGGTTATGCAGTATATGAGAAAATCTCCAATTCATGTTTTGGTTAGTTCTGTTTGATAAACACAAAGAAATCTTCAAGGTCCTTCAAGGACCTTATTTATTTTATAATTCAAATCAGAAGAGAATGAAGTGGGTTGAACTACTATACTGGCCTTTCTCTTGAAATGTAGATCAGACTGAAAAGGAAAGAAAGGATCTGGGGAAGACTGAAGAAGAAAAGGGACACCTGGCATGTTGTGTATATATACCTGGCAGAGTTGGTGACTACCAAAAATATTGGTGACTATTAGGAAACATCCTCAGTTCAGATCACAATTGTTCACAAACCATTTTCCGACTTTTCAAGTACAATCCACAAAGTGTATGACAGAGGCATTTATCTCTCTCATAAAAGAGAATTTCATCCTCCAATGCCATACACAAAGACAGTTAATTATCCTTGTGCATTCTTGTAGACCTTGAAGCAAGGTAAAGAGAATTTGGCTCAAGAGCTTGGCAAATACTTCATGTTCTGCAAGGAAATATAATGGAATTGTTTTAAAGTGATTGTGATTCGTAAACATGATAGAGTTACCAAGTAATTTATATATTGTCTTATTATATGGTTATTTTCATATTAAAAATGAGGTTGATCATAGTAAAAACAAACATTGTGTAAATATTTTCTGAATGTTAATCATATACCTACTTCTGTTCTATAAGTTACAGATACAAAGATAGGGTGAATATCCCTGTTCATCAAGGTTTATGTTAGCACTGGCTGCTTTTAAAAACTCTTGATTTAAATAAGATAGAGTGCAATTATCAAGTGTCTTTTCTTCACAAGTATTATCGCAATGACTGTAATGTCACCCATAACATGTTCTGTAACTCCTTTCTTTATATATTCTAGTTAATTTGAAAAAAAACACAATCGTGTTATACAGAAGATAGATTTTTTTTTTTTTTTTTTTTTTTTTTGAGTTGGAGTCTCACTCTGTCGCCCAGACTGGAGTGCAGTGGCCGCTCCCGGCCACCGCAGCCTCGACCTGCTGAGCTCCGGCGATCCTTCCGCCTCAGCCTTCCAAGTGGCCGGAATTTCAGGCATGCGCTACCATGCCCTGCTGATTTTTTGATTTATTGTAGAGATGAGGTCTCGCTGCCCAGGCGGGCCTCGAACCCGCGGGCTCAGGCAATCCACTCACCTCAGCCTCCCAAAGGCGTGGGACTACAGGCTGAGCCACCGAGCCCGGCTGATAAATAATTTTTCAGAGGCAGGAAGAGTAAGTTAAACAGCTCTTGTCAAAGAGAATGCTGCATTTCTTAAGCAGACCAAATGCTTTTCTTACACTCCTATAACTTTGTTAATTTTCTCTATCCTTTATGTTTAATTATTAACAATATGTATTTTATCATAGCTTTAAAATAGCTAACAAAGTTAATTTTATATCCTTGTCTAAAGCAGAAAAGTAAGATCTGGGGGAAAAACACATACTTTATAGGATAATTTAAATCAGCTTTTTCATGTTGCAAATGTGGGAAATAAAATCCCAGAGGGATCCAAGGCCATACAAGTGGTAGGGCAAAGAAACCAGGGATCTTATACGATCTTATATGAAAAAAATTTTTCCAGTTCTGATACCAGTGTTTGACTTTTAAAAAATAACAGAGGGCATGCCTTTAGGAAACAAAGTATTCTGTTTTGTTTTTGTTGTTGTTGTTGTTTTTAATCATTTTAGTGCCTGTGTTTGTATAAATATTGACTTTTTTGATTGATGACCACATATTTATCTGGCACCAAGAACTATCCATAATGCTTTTGTTTAGTGTAAAAGTTGTCTGAAACGTTTTACCATAGGTAACATTAAAATTAAAACTAACATCACTTTGAAAACTAACTTTAATTTTAACATAGCCGGTTTCAAACTAAAAAAAAAAAAGGAGATAATCCCAACTACTTTCATTGCCTTTTGATGTGCTAGCCATTATTAAATTATTTACTTATTTAATCCTGTGAAGTAGATACCATAATTATTATTTTCATTTTATAGGTGACAGACTTGAGGCTTCATCTTTGGAATTTCAGTTCTTAGTTTGTAGCTTATCCAAGATTACCCAGTTAAGACACGACAGACCCAGATTTTGGATCTATATTTGATACAGACAATCCTAGTCTTCGCCAGTGTATAATTACACTAACTCCCCGAATTTTCTTTTCTTTTGTTTGTTTGTTTGTTTGTTTTGATTTATTGTAGAGACGAGGTCTCGCCAAGTTGCCTGGGCGGGTCTCGAACCCGCGGGCTCAGGAAATCCTTTCGCCTCGGCCTCCCAAAGTACTGGAATTACAGGCTGAGCCACCGAACCCGGCCGGATTTTCAATTCCAAAAGCTCCTCTGACATTTCGTTTCTTAAAAGTTGGGTATATGGTCACACTGAAATAATGTTCCCAAGTCCACTTAACTTATGCAGTAGCCTAAATAACATAATTTTGCTCTATCAAAATTTTTTTAAGAATATGTTTTAGGGACCGAAGTGTTTATTATTGTTTATAAAAGATAATTAATGTCCTCTTGAGAAAGGAGTGATGAAACTGGTCCTGCCCTTTGACAGCAGGTTTTACATGCTTAGTCTCAGTTCTATGACCACAACTCTAAATGACCCATCCCCATACCCCGGAGCCTGGTTTGCCCCAGGCTTTGCCCCTTCCCATGCTGACAGCCGTTCCTACTTAAGGCTGCTCTTCATGATTTCTGTCTCATGATTGGACTGATCCCTACACTAGTGAAGTATTTCCTTGATTAAATACCTACTTGCCTCCTTTACCTCCAGATATCTTGGCTCTCAGGTGGGTTTGTCAAATTTCCCTATAATGAACATTCAACTTAATTGAGGGGCCTGAACTGGAATACTGAAACTTGATAAGTTACATAGTCTTTATAATTCTGGGTCTAGAAAAACTAGCCCTCCAGGGTGGTTTCCAAATGGAGTAAATTCATTTCTGATCCTTGGATAGGAGATCTGAATTTTGGGAAATTGAATTCATTGCACAAGGTGCAGTGAATATGCTCTAACAATAGTTATCATTTGGGTGGTTCTCAGCTCAGCATGCATCAATTAGCTGAACACTGATTCATTCTTTTTTTTTTTTTTTTTTTTTTTTTGAGTTGGAGTCTCACTCTTTCGCCCAGACTGGAGTGCAGTGGCCGCTCCTGGCCACCGCAGCCTCGACCTGCTGGGCTCCGGCAATTCTTCCGCCTCAGTCTTCGGAGTAGCCGGAATTACAGGCATGTGCTACCACGCCCAGCTCATTTTTGATTTATTGTAGAGATGAGGTCTTGCCAGGTTGCCCAGGCGGGTCTCGAACCCGTGGACTCAGGCAATCCACTCACCTCAGCCTCCCAAAGGCACGGGATTACAGGCTGAGCCACTGAGTCCGGCAACTGATTCATTCTTAAATGCCCTCTGGAATATCAAAACTTTATAGAAATGTTTTTAAAATGTTTGTGTTCATTTTAATAGAGTTCAAAGTCAATGCAACCTGTTACTTCCAGTTATATGAATTATTTAACATGTTTAATAAATTGATATATGTCTTTTTTCACATTTCTTCTGGTATATATGGCATTTTCTTAATAAATTTGACTATCAGACGTTTTTCTATTGAATAACAGACACTTATTACAGGAAAGAGGTAAAAAGATGGACAAGATTATAAGAATAGTTCGTTTTCTGCATTAACAGGGAGGTAATCTTTGGCTTCATGTTCTAAACTGTATTTTTCTCCTTTTCCTCAAAAAACATGCAAATAAAACAAAATAAGAATAAGCAAGTGATAATCCTTGACCTTAATCATTCTATTGCTGATATATTTATAGGAAGTAAAATGAATTCATAAACCAAAGTACAACATCATGATTTAAGTAAGCACTTTGTCATAAATTCTCATTCCTCTGTGCTTGGGAGGTGTGTTTGAAAGTATGTTTTGTAATGGATTTTATATCTCTTGCCTAATCAGAATCCTGTAACTGAAATAAATAGACATTAGAATAAATAAAAGGGTTTTTGTTTCCCCCATTCTGCTGCTAAAGCACTTCCTGGGTGCATGCCAACAATCAGTGGGGCTCACAAATATAGTTGAGTTTTTCCACCTTCTGTTGATCAATATTACTTGATTCTATCAATGTTTATGGAGCAAGGTCCTACTATGCACAACTCCTGTTGGAAGATGTCCAATACTTCTTTGCAGAATAGCAAATTACTGTTGCAATAGCATAACCTCACATGCTACACAGCATACGAGATGATAACTTTGAATAGTGGAAAATGGAAACTACTGAGCTTTTCAGCTGATCACAATAAAATCAGAACACATCAAAACAGCTGGTGTTCTGTGACTCAGAATCAATCAACCAGTTTTGAATCACCTCATACTTCTTTATTTCTCTTTACAGTTTCACAGAAGTGGTTTAAACCAACATATGCCCTTCCCATTTGGTTGCATCTCGGCTTTGAGTTGCTTTGCTTTCACATTCTAATACTAGCAAATGAAGATGACTGTAATATAAAAGAAAAAAATAAAGGCTACCATTAAAATGATTATTAAAATGATACTGCTACATTTGTGTAAAATAAACCATATGTTCAAATAAAAATGCCCTGGAAGAAATGTAACAGTTTTAGGTTGTGTTATGGAATGAGAATAATTCTGCATCAGCAGTATTTATGTAATTTGCAGAAATGGCAATAGTTGGAATTTTCTAAGTGTATAATTAATCTTTTAATGGTTATAAAAATAATGATATCATGGGAAAGTCAATATTAAGTTAGTAAATGAAAGCTAAGTGTTAGTATGTATTTTGCATTCTGACACTAGCCCTTCTCTTTGTTCTGATAGGTACCTATTACACCATTCTTTGGCAAAGGCTGTTCAGTGGTGGTGACCTCTTCCAATTCAACACTCTACAAATTATTATCTCTGGATTCCCAGCTGACACCCTGCCGGAGGCAAGAGCTACTAAGCCAACTGGAACTGTGCCTCTTCTCTTGTCAAGGTTTTTTTCTTACACAGGAAAAAGAAAGAAAAAAAAAAGATGAAGTTGGGCAAAGTGGAGTTCTGCCATTTTCTGCAGCTAATAGCGCTTCTCCTGTGTTTTTCTGGGATGAGTCAAGCAGAACTTTCAAGGTCCAGATCAAAGCCCTATTTCCAATCAGGGAGGTCCCGGACCAAGCGCAGCTGGGTGTGGAATCAGTTCTTTGTGCTGGAGGAGTACATGGGTTCAGATCCCCTCTATGTAGGAAAGGTAGGGCATTCGGCCTTTCGAAGTTGCACATGATTGTTGTCAATGTCTATGGTTGGATGGAAAATTGCTAATATTTAGCAATATGGGTAAATATGGGTATGGAGGACACAAAGCCTCATTCCTATAAAAGTGTTTATGAAGTTTTTGGTGTTAGCCACTGTTAAGATTTAATCAGGGGAATATATTCAGTACAGTGAAGCTATTAACTTAGGGAGTGATGCTTCATTTCTAAAGAGAGAGAAGGATCCTACAGAGACCTAGCTTATTATGATTGTAGCACATTGGCTAAACTGTTATTACCAAAATTAGAATATCTACTAATAAATGCAGAGTGGCAGGTTCTTATTGCCAGTTTATTTGTTTATTTTTTGCTTGTTCTTTTTGGATACTATTAATGTTGCCCACACTAAAATGTATGCCTGTGTATCCTTCCCTGATACTTACAATGCAGAAACTGCAAGTGAAATCATTGAGTCTAATGGTTCTAAATTATGAACAATTCAAACCCCCTTTTTTGCAGTCTAGATCTTTGTATGATTTTTAAGGTTGCTTTTAAAATTTTCTTTTGATTAAAAAGAGATGTAAACAGAAGCCATTTAGAAATGATATTAGACAAATGATGAACAGTACGTGGTAGATTTGTTTGATGGCTAAGTAGTAGCCAGATTTAAAAAAAAAAATTTTTTTTACAGCTTCTTTATGTCCGAATATTTGGGAAGGTGATTTTCATTAGAGCCTCCTAAATTGGAAGATGCTCCAGAAAATCATAACTTTTCCCTTCCATCCTCATATTGTGTTCCCAGGCCCTAGTCTGCTTCGGGTTCAATTATTTTGTTATTTGTAAAAGTTTCATGAATTTTTCAAGTTGGTACTGAGTACTGGGGAAGTATGGTATATTAGCAAGTGATTTATGCTTCTGTATTTCTTGTTTTTGTTGGCTTTACGTTCTATTCCTGATAAAATGTAGCATAGCTAACTAATGGATTTATCTATAAATCAGTTTTTTCAACTTTGAAAGATAGAGAAAGAATCTTGGTTATTTATTGCATGGAGCATTTTTTTCTTTTGAGAGCAACTTAAGTAAGAGTGAAAATTATGTTTTTGGTGAGCATCTGTTAAATCAAGGTAATTGTTCTTATACTTATGATTTTCTTTTAATGTTTCTGTATTTTACAAACAACAAATTTACATATTGTAAAAAAAAAAATGGATTGGAATCAGTAAAAGGCTTATAGGGATGTGGATGAGGATTTTTCTTCTTTTCCTTTTTTTTTTTTTTTTTTGCCCAGTCATAACATTTTCTGACCCCAGGAAAGCACACATAGAAGCATAAGAAGCATATGGCTATTTTTCCATTGTCATTTTACTGATAACACTATCATATATACTGTATATGTGCTACATTTCTTTCATGCTCTCTTTTCACTTGTTTTCTTATTAAAAATAAAAGTAAGAAAAATAATCATAGCCGGGCTCGGTGGCTCAGCCTGTAATCCCGCGCCTTTGGGAGGCTGAAGTGAGTGGATTGCCTGAGCCCGCGGGTTCGAGACCCGCCTGGGCAGCGAGACTTCATCTCTACAATAAATCAAAAAATTAGCCGGGCGTGGTAGCGCACGCCTGTAATTCCGGCTACTTGGAAGGCTGAGGCGGAAGGATCGCGGAGCCCAGCAGGTGGAGGTTGTGGTGGCCGGGAGTGGCCACTGCACTCCAGTCTGGGCGACCGAGTGAGACTCCAACTCAAAAAAAAAAAAAGAAAGAAAGAAAAAGAAAAATAATCATAATGTAATGCTATTGACTAAGAATCTAGCTCTTAATTTCCTTCATATTTTAATGGACATTTAACAAATTCATTGAGTTTTCTTTATTGTACAGATTGATTATATTCAACTAACTTATAAAGAGGCAGTACTGTAAGTTATTAGGTAAAATCATGTTTTTGTGACAATGTAAAATTTTCTAAAAGTGGCAAGAATATCCTCATTAATTTGATTTTAAGTGAAGTTGCCTGGGCAAAGTTGACATATAAAAAAAATCAATATAATTAAAAAATTAAATGCCTTCCTTTCAGTTTTATGAACTTCCCATGATAATTCAGAAATATACCAAATAACAGCTACAAGCCAATTTAAAATAATGAAAGTATATGTCCCCATATTACTTAAATTCCAAATGTATATGAAGCTACTGGGCAAATCTGCTGTTATTTTTCTAAGACAAATTGTGTGGTTTCTTCATTAGGTAACAAGAAATATCCTGTACTTCTCTTTCAATTAATCAAATAAGGTCACTTAAATTTTATATGACAGGAAAGTTAGCTTATGTTTATCTCTTGCATGCTTCATTTTGGGAGTTCAATGTGGCCTTTGCAGTAAAATGCTCAGGATGTAATTGATTAAAAGACAACTATTAATTGACTAAAATACAAAGAAAGAGGCAATAAAATCATTTGAGATGGAGGGAGGATTTATTTATAAGCAAGAGAGAAAAATGCAAGATCTTATGGGAACAATTTTTATGTTTCCTTGGAAAAAGTGGCACAGAATTTGAGTACTACAGATGTTATATTAGAAATGATGAAATGGTTCCTTTTAGGTTGGTGGTCTGAATAAGTAGAGATATAAGAATAACTTTATCTCAGCACATTTTGATCCCATGGTATATGAAATAGTTATATTTTCTTTGTTTTTTGTTTGCTTGTTTTTGTTTTAGTTTAGGGCAGTGATAGCTATGACCATAAATGTTTATAGGACAAAAATAACTAAAAATTGTAGACAGAGATGTGGAGAAATGTCTAGGCAGGTAAACCTCATGGAGAGAAGAAAGAGCCAAACCACTACTTTCCACAGATATATATTTAACCTATGCTAGTTAGGTGGCCATACTCCTAGGCATTGTGATAAAACCTAGCTATATAGGTAATTTGAAAAACAGAAGTGAAGACTTTGATAAACCTTACAGCTTAATTTCCTCATATAATGGACAGGTGTAGTGTGTATCTGATTAACATCAGTTTTGCTGCTGGCCCTAGCACTCCTACTAGTTATATAACTTTGAGGCAAGTTGCCTAACATTATTAAGCTTTAGTTTTCCCATCTCTAAAATAGTAAAAATGATATATCTAATCCAAGTCTGTTACCAAACAAGTGAGATCAACGTATTTGGAATATATTTTTAATTAATCTGGATATTCTATTTTCTACTTCACTACATATTAATTGCTTTATAGATAATCTATTGTATAGTGTGTCAAATGTTATATGTGTGATCGGATGGAAGCAGGAATTATTTTATGTCCTAAGAGTATTAAATTATTATTCAATTAAATTATTATTCAAATTAATTACAGGAATGTCTGTTTTGAGTGTGCTTAGAAATGCAGTTTGTCCTTATATATTTATATGTGATTAAACTATGGCAGAAATATCTTTAGTGGGTGAAAAAATTCAGTCTTTAAACATGGGCACTTGCAGTGTTAGATAAATAGTGTCTCTGAATGTTTTAGATCTTCAAATTAGAAGTCCATGTTAATGACTGGTGGCCAACAAGACTAGTTAAATGACTATACAGTGAATAAAACTTGGTAATTAAGGCATTGAGGATAATAAGGCCACAATATGACTGTTGGCCTTATTAATTTAGTTAATTTACTGGATTTATTTTACTTATGACAACCCAAGACCAAAGTTGAAGCATCTGTTGAATGAGGCCAGAAATGCTTCTAGCACCCTTACTCAGAAACAAGCAAGACTTTGGAGCTGTGCTAGACTTTGATGGTATAATCTTCATCATTAGCTTTCTTCATTTGCTTATGAAAATAAGTTGATGAACTGCTGACCCTAAATATATAGTCTTAAAGGAGTCCTTAGATATTTCTCTGATTGAGTTCTATTTTAAAAAATAATAATGCACTTTTCCCTAAGTGTATTTTTTAATCATCATGCCTGTCTTCTGGTCCTTATATGAAGAGAATAAAGGGTAGAGTCATTTCTTTTATCTATGTGACTTCCTATCACCCCTCACCTGACTATTTGCAGTAAATGGCGGGGGGGGGGGTCACAGTTTCTACCCATTTCATTGCATCACACTGCATTTTTCCAGTTCAGTCTTTTTCTCACCTTGGCATTTCACAGTTAATATCCCCTAACCATCGGGGGGAAAAAAAATCTGTCTACAAAACTGCCCAGCCTCTGTTCCAGGTATTAAGTGTTTTTCATCTTTTCTAACCGTAATGGCCTGACAGCCGATTGCTGTGCTCTAGGCCATTACTTTCACTGAAATGTGTGTTTCGTGCCTCTTCCACAGTTGCTTCCCTAGATGTTAACATCACTCTTGCCTTTTTTGCTACTGCCTTTTCTTCCCTACTCATTCAGGAAAAATTTATACCTGCTGCCCCAGTAGAAATCAAATACATAGAAATACAGTTTGCAGAATTCACTTGGCTTTAAATTTAAGCTACTTGGAACTGTTGGTGAACATTTTCAATGCATTTAATTATACCTTAGCAGTCTCTCACCAAGAAGTTCTGTATCTCCTGATATCAAAAGATTCATTCAGTGTTTCAGAAAAGAAATTTTCATCTTGAAAATAGGTTGTGTTTTTAAAAATTGAGTTACAAATTAGTTGCCTTAAATGGGAATGTTATATTAGATACAAAAAGAAAATAATGAATCTCAGGTATTAATGACTTAGGGAAGAGTACACTCATCATAGTAAAATTTATGTTTTATAGACTTTGGTGGGCTAAAAAAAACCAAAACAAAACAGAAAAGTATCTTCTGAACCTGTAGATGCCTAAAGTCAGATAAGATCTTAGGAGAAAACAAAGACAGTTTTTCTAGGAATATTTAGAAAACCCATTTTCATTATATCTTCATAACCAGAGTTAATTTGTAAAGGCCCTTGTTCTTACCTTCCTTAGTTTGCTGATAGAAGTGTGAACTCCTGGTGATTTCAAAAGGAATTTGGACATGAATCAGCTCTGTGGGATGCAAATACGTTAA